TGCCTCCTTTACGGGTACCTTTCAGCCACAAAGAGACTCAGAGATTTATTGCACGTATCTTGTTATTTTTTGTTGAGATTAACATTATTAACAGTAATACTAGCATATTTTTGTCTTGACAATGTGGAAGTGTGTCTTATCTTAAATCGAAACTTAAAAGAATCTCATAATTTAAGTATGTATTTGAACCCAACAATCGTTTAACCAAAATCTAAAATCGCTAAATCCAAGGGCGAGAAGAAATCAATAAGGGAGAGAGTTTTACCGAGTGTGTTAAAGATTTGAAGGTATAAAGTTTCATGCTTACGTCATGTATCTCTGTATAAAATTCTTCTTCTTTTTTCATTTTTTCCATAGCGGGCCTTATATTGGGTTTCCCCCTTTTTAGGATTCAGTTGTCGGAGTCGGAGCAACAATCTATTGGATCACAGGAACTCCACAGAACATTTTTTTCTCTTTCTTTTGGTATGGCCAAAATTAGAATTGCATCACAAATCAGTATTTGAATTGTAATTATCTTCTTTCTATCAATAAGGAATAGATTTTTTGATAGATTAAAGAAAATATTTTGAAAGTTGTAATCTCATCAATTCTCAAAAGTTCTGTGCCCATTTGCCTCTGTTTCCATCTATTGTTCGTTGCTACTGTTGCTATTTATGATACGTAATATGGTCTGTCTAGATTTCTTTCAGTTTTCCTTTGCGTAATATGCGTTTAAATGCAAATTTTCAACTTCAAGACTCATATTGTTTTTTGGAATAATCTGACAACTTCAAATCAATATACAATTTAAAAGTTGTTATGTCGTATAGTCATATTTTATAGTAATTTGCAAGTTATGAAATCCTCAAGTGCAGAAAAATAGGTGCTACATGTACCCCAGTAGGACGTGCTTGCGCAAAACAAGCAGGCGGAAAAAAGGTGCCTATATCAATGAGGAATAATCTGTGGAATCCACTGATCATGAGAGCTATTGCTCAAGTTTTTTATCATAAATACATGTGCCTAAATTAAGTTTTTGCATTTGATTCAGAGGAAAAATTTATCAATCAAAGGGTTTAATTGTTGAGTCTGAAAGAACCTATTTTGCCATGTAGCCTATTTATGGTCTTACGTTGTTGTGATGATAAAGCAACAATCTTATTTTTAATAGTCTACATATTGAAGCAAATGAGTTCATGTTGCAGATACATATAATATTGTACAACCAGTTGTCATCCGCGACTCTCATGTTCTATAGCCTCAATGTTACAACAAAGTTATGTCAAAATTAGGCAAGTAAGTATATCAACAGGCTCATTAGGGGGATTGTCCAGAATTAGATTTCCAACAACAATACAAGACTTTCTTGATTGTGAAAATGTTGTACATCTCTCACTGATATTTGCTTCTTTCGTTATCTACTTCAGGATATGAGGCGGCAGTCATATGAAACTAGGGAAACAATAGTAATACTTACCGTGCCAAAACTAGAGGCTATAGTGTGGTTGAGGTGTTGCTCTGCTTTTGGATTGAGACCCTTTTATGGGGAATGTAAGAATACCCTTTTTTTGATTATCTATGTTGATTTTATTTTGAATTTGAGATAAATTTTATAGTCGTATCTTTACATGAGTGCATAAGATGGAAGTTCCTTTTAATGTCTTTGCCTTGAAGTTTTTGTGTTCAAGTAATCCAATACATCGTTGTCTTTTGCTAATAAACAGAACTTTTATTGTCTTATAGTTGTGTAAGACTGTTTTTTGTCTTTGTTGATACCTAGTTTTACAGCATGACATACCCTAATTAGCATTTTTTTTATTAGATACTAAATTTAGCAACACACGCTAGGGTGGCCAATATTAAAGAGGAAAGAGGAACAAATATTTTACCGATCAATTCATCTAATAGTTTGCACTATACATCTGTTACTACAAGTAGCAATAACTTACCTTAAGTATGCAACAGAGAACTTTGTTCCTCAACTGTAAAGGAATAAGTAGCTTCTAATGATGGTGTTTTCGATTGGAACAACATGATGGCTGCTATATCAGTAATTGACACATAATCTTGATGAGAATTAATGTTCTTATTGTAGATTCTGCTAACAAGGATTAGGTATTTCTAGGATTTTGGTTATCGATATGAGTCTTCATTTGTATCATCGACCAACATGATTGACTTGCTCATGTGCTCATATACTTCTGATCCAAAGTACAAAACAACTGAAGGTGATGTCTTAATTATTGCGATTATACATATTTTTAATTATTTTTTGTTTTTGTTGATCACAACTTGAGACAATTTTTTTTGTATTCTCAGGTGGACTAATCCTTTTAAAGCCAAGTATTGGTGTAGCATTACCCCAGTATGATGTAACATCTCTTGATAATTGATGGTCCCTGTCAATAATTTTATAGAGAAAGCCCGATTAAATTCATCTATTTGTTTTTTTTTGTTTAATTCCTCTAAATGTGGTTGCTAAATGTAGTCTGCAATTTATTTCTGTTTCTAATATTTCCCCCCATCTTTTCCTTTGAAATGATCCGCGCATCGAGCGAGTACTTATACTAGTTTATGATTATACGAATGAAGTACTAAGAATCATTCCAGGTAGCACTGGTGTGGTTAAATTTGGAGAGAGATATATAAATGGTAAGTTTGTGTTTCTGTCATTTTATGTCTGTTTTGATGCTTTGAAAAAAGCATTTATGTCTGGTTGTAGAAGGTGTATTGGTTTGGATAGTTATTTTCTAAAGGGGTACGTAAAAGACAACTATTGGTGGTTGTATATAAAGATGGCAATAATCAAATGATGGCCATTGCCTGGGCTGTTGTGGAGTATGAAAATACAACTACATGGTCATGGTTTGTGAAATGTGTACAACATGAGCTTCAGCCAGGAGATGCCATAAATCTGACACTAATTTCTGATATGCAAAAGGTCATTTCTATTCCATTACTGATTCTGCAATTCCTTATCATCTCTTTTTAATTATTTACTGATAATTAATTTTCTTGTAGGGACTGAAGTGTGCTATAATAGAGCTTCTACCAATGGCTGAACATAGGATGTGTGCCAGACACATCTTAGCTAATTGGTCAAAAAATTGAAGGGGTATTGGGAGAAGGAATGCATTTTAGAGGGGTACAAAATCCATATATGAAGCTGAATTAAAGAAGAATCTAGATGAACTTAACATGTTAGGTAGTAATAGTGTTGAGGATCTGTTGTATTACAATAAAGAAAGGTGGTGTAGGGTTTATTTCTCAAAGTTTAGTAAGTGGGATGTGGTAGACTATAGTATAACTGAGAGCTTCAATGCATGAATTTTAGCTGCAAGGCACAAAACAATAATTACTATGCTTGAATAGATTAGATTGAACATGATGAAGAGGATTTCTCAGCTAAGAGACTTCTCAACTACATGGATAACTGACATATTTCCTATGGCTTTGAAGAATTTACAAGAAAACATTTCAAAGTCAATGAAACGCACAATTCATTGGAATAGTAAATATGGTTATGAAATAGAGGAATCACCATATAAGAAGCACATTGTGAGTATGGATAATCTGAGTTGTAGATGTAGAGCATGTCAGCTTAGAGTCATTCCTTGCTAACATGCCAATGCAGCAATGCATTTCAAGAAATTGGAGCCTATAAGGTATGCTGCTCATTGGTATACAAAAGAAACCTACCTCAAGACTTATTCACACTTTATTCAACCAATGAATAGTATGGACATGTGGTCACAATCTGAAAATCCACTAGTAGCACCTCCTAAAATCAAGCCAATGCTAGGGAGGCCAAAGAAACTAAGAAGGAAAGAAGCCACTAAATTTAGAAAAATAGGAAAGTTTTATAGGTGTTGTCACACCTCCTTTTTACCACCCGAGGGGGATATAAGGAGTTTTTCCAATTAAAATGACATTATTCGAAATGGAATTATTTTATTTATTTTTCAGAGTCGCCACTTGGAATAATTTATTTGGTGTTCCAAGTCACCGGTTTATTTTAAAATCCCAAATCGAGAAAATTTGACTTTATTTAAAAGTCTGCGAAACCAGAAATTCTAGATAAGGAATTCTGTTAACCCGGAAGTAGGTGTCAGACATTCCTGGGTTCCGTGGTTCGAGCACAGTCACTTAAACTATTAATAATTGGCCTATTATCTGATTAATTACAAGTTTTAAACCTAGTTGCATTTTTAAATTTTTAAACCGCTTTTAATTATTTTTAAACCGCTTTTAGGATTTATGGAATTATTTCTTGAACAAGTTACGATTATCGTACACTTGCTGTTTTAGGGGCATACTGCAAACCACGCTACATGAAATGTACTCGTGATTCGCGATATATTTATTTTATTATTGTTCAAAGTTGTTATGATTGGGTCACATGAAATGCACATCCGAATTGGGGATTACGTATCGTAACTATGTCATGAGAGCCGTACCCATAGTCATGATGATTTAATTACGCGCCTAAAGCAAACTAAGAATGTTCATAGTTATTCATTTCCTAAATTCGAGATTGTTGCGAGGCCACTGATTATAGCTATAACATTGTGGGTAGAAAGGGATGTATTTTGTGATGCCATTGGGCTTGACAAAATTATTTTGGCCCAAACTAGCTTGGTCCAACATTTTTAATATCAAAATTACTGCATAGTCTGCTAACTTCACCTACGACCAATCATCCGGTCAAATCAACTCAAAACAAAAACATTTGTAACTCTAAAAATTAACATCAAGGTCCAACTTAATCATAGTATTACTGATTCTATTGATTTAGATCATAAACTATTCTAAGAAAAAAAATCAAAAGAAAAATCAACAAAGTATTTTAATTATGAGCAAATTAATATTATTCAAGGATAAGACAAACTAAGATTAATTCTAAAACTTGTCAAACTACTAGTTTAGCCTTAATTAAGAAGCGATATTAATTTTCTAGAAGTCCCTAGATGAAACTACATCAGCCACACAACCAACATTTATTTCAAATATAAAGAATAATCAACCAAAAACATAAAACAACAAGAAATGACTTCACACACTATTTGAATAACAATACATTAACCATAAAGTAAAGGAGAATTGACCTTTGTAGCAAACTTTCTTTATATTTGAAAACCGACTGTGAACAAAGACGGTCATCGACCTCTGACCGCACGCTGGAGAAAGACTCGAACCGAACCTCTCGGAATTGCAAACGGACAGCTCGTCGACTCGACTCGCACCTGTGGTGTCATTTTGGATGATTTCGAGGCTGTTTTTGGGTGGTTTTCGGGCTGGAATTCGTACTGATTTATGGAGGTGTTTTGATGTGAGTTTTGCTGTATTTTTCAGCTTATTTGATGTAGTTTTTCAACAAGATTTGATGTTGTTTTTCAGCAGTCTTTTATGCTGTTTTTATGCTGTTTTTCAGCAGCTTTTGAAGCATTTTAGGACTGAATTTTATGGAGCTTTTGTTGCATTTTTATGGTATTTGAAGGCTGATATCTAGAGGAAAAGGATGGTGTGTTTGGTTATTGATGGGTGATTTTTTTGGGGGGGTTGAATTTCAGCTAAGTTTGGGGTATTTTTTGAGTTGTTTTTGCAGCTGGAATTTTTGGTTGGCTTTTTTTTTATGGAATTTTTGTGGAGCTTGGTGGTGTCTTAACAATGGTGGAATGGAGTGGATTTTTCTGATTTTTCTGTTTGTGTGTCGTGTGTTATAAGTAGAATGAGTAGGAAGGGTGAGGAATATGAGTGGAGAGAGTGGGAACACGAGTGGGGAAAGTGGGGGAAATGAGAAGTAAGTGGAGAAAGTGGGAAAAGTGTGAATAAATTCAAACATGGTCAAAAATTAGTTGCTCATAGGTATGAGCGCCATATGACTTGCAGCTTGTGTAAAGCAAAGGGACACAATAAGAGAAGTTGTCCACATGCTGAAGGTTCAACATCTGCTGTTGTTGCTGCTGCTTCAGCATTTGTTCCACATGCTGGAAGAAGAAGAGGTAGAGGAATTGAAAGTGCTCCATCTACTGCTGCAACTTCATCATCGTGTGGTTCAACAAGTATTTCTGGAAGAGGTAGGGGAAAGGGAAGTGCTCCATCTACTGCTGCAACTTCATCATCGTGTGGTTCAACAAGTATTTCTGGAAGAGGTAGGGGAAAGGGAAGTGCTCCATCTACTGCTGCAGCTTCATCATCGTGTGGTTCAATAAGTATTTCTGGAAGAGGCAGGGGAAAGGGAAGTGCTCCACCTGCAGGTTCATCAAGTATGCCATATGCTGGTTCAACATGTGCTTTTGGAAGAGGAAGAGCTAGAGGAAAGGAAAGTGGAATGGATGCTAGAGGAAGGGGAAAGGGAACTAATGGCTTTGAGAGTTCAAGTGACTTGGAGGGTTGGTTTAATTGTTCAGATGGGTCTGCTAACAATACTCTTGAAAAGAGAAGAAATTCAATTGGTTCTCGCCCTTTTAAAAGGCCAAGGATAGTAGTGGTTGGTTTAATAGTTGCTGACAGTTGATACATTGCTTTCAATATAAGTATTTAGTGTTGTTCTTCAATTTTTGTATATAATCAAACTTCGATTAACTAGCATTGCTCTTCTTTCTTGCAGCCTTGCCTACCAAGTCAAAGAGTTGTGAATCTTGGAGCAAGAATAGTTATAAGTTCAACAGAGGTTACAGACATTGGATATCAGTCGAGAACAAGAGTGAAATGGAAAAGAAAAGTAGCAATGACCACAAGGAGACTACAACAAATGAGGGGAGGTAAAATAATTCAAACAAGGTCAAAGAGGGATGCTGCAGCAAAAAATTCAAGCCAAAACGCAACATCTAGAATTTAGAACCTTTAACTACTTAGACTATGTATTATGCAGATTAAGTACTTCCTTTTGTTAATATTATACCTGTCTATTGGCTTCTTTTTGTTGATACTGCACTTGTTTTGTTGGCCACCTATTCTGCTTATAGCATACTCAAACAATTTATGCAAATGATCTGTTTGGTATTGCTTTAGTTAATGTCGTTCATTGTTCTCTTATAACTACGCATAGGCAGCAAATGATCTGTTTGGTATTGATTTAGTTAATGTCATCCATTGATCTTATGTAACTACGCACAGACAACATATATGTACAAACTCAAGTTCCATTCATTGTTGTTCCAACCAAAAAATAGAGATTAACTCCTCCGAACTACAGTTAATGTTACAAAGATTGGAGAACAAACTACATATAATTTGCACGATTATTACATAAACAAATAACATATAATCAGACACAACAAAATACATAAGATGCTCTTCCTACTATTAGGATTCTAGCTGTGATTCATCTTATCCTTTTGGTTCAACCCTTGATTGATCATCTGATGACCCTCTAACTCTTGCTCAACCTCCGTCCATTGTTCATTCTCTATCCCTTTCAATACCAATTGAATCTTTAATGATTTATAATTGGCTAATCCTTCTTCAATCTCTCTCAATTGTTCACCAATCATAGAAGGACAAACCTAGAACGCTCATTAATAACATCATCCCTCCATCAAAAAAAATTACAAGACTTGGTTTGAAATTTGAAGAGATATAAATCATTTTAAAGTAACCAAAAAATATGGACAACATCAATCAATTGCCCAAATACTTACACCATATTATGAAAAATACCAGAACCGTCTTCCAGGGTTCCAAGTCGACCAAGAAGTTTGCAATGACAGCAAATCTTCATGCTTGCAACGCACCTTCAGATTCAACATTGGGTCATGCTCGTCCATACAAAGTTGATTCAAGTTGATTCCTGCCATTTCAAACACTGAAAAACAGAGAATTAGCACAGATTAATTTCAATAGAGAACCCTAAAAATAATCTATAAAATATAACTAAGAAAATTAAAGATTGAGGAGGAGAAGTTAATACTATACAAGAAGGTTGCAATGCAAAAAAATCCCTTTCTATTCACCAAAATCGAGCTTCAATGGCGGACGGAATCGGGTGTGGAAGAAGAGAAAGAATTTTAACCTAATTAAATAAATGGTATGTGACAGTTAAATAAAGGCATGGAAGTATAAATTATATTATTCACGCGCTCACAAATCGTGCAGACACCCTATGTGCCAACTGGGCCACAAAGGTGTATTTTAATTCACTAAAAATATATACAGGGGGGTCATTAGATACCCGTATTTTTAAGGGGTGCAACTCGTACTTTGGTACAACCCCAATGGGGTAATTATGTATTATCCCTAAATTTTGGGTAATCTATTTCTATAAGAAAGAAGGAAATGATGATGTTATCACAAACATGCTAACTGAGTCGAATCGCAAAAATCTTTTGATTATCAGTGTATATAGCAATTAGTATTAAACTAATTAAAATAGGTCACCTGTTCCAAAAAATTTGTACATTGCACTTGTGACAGTTAAGTAGAATAATTGGCTACTAACTACTCTTACGTACTAGAGTCAACTCTCTATATAACATTCTCGTTTATTCCGATATTTTTTTATTTTTATAGTGAATAATTATTATATACCTATAACAGTATTGGCGTTTAAATATTTTTTGGTTGTTATAGATCAAAATTATCCAAAATATAATTATTTCTTTTTTTAATGTTACATATAAAAGATAAGAATATTATTCAAATTTAAAATCTCAAAGGTATGCATATTTCACTAGTTAAATATTGAAAAAAGCTAATATATTATTAATAAATTCATAACTAAATGTATAAAGATTTAAACTCTAGCAACTTGTTTGGATGGTTGTTACCTATTGTAGTGCATCGTATTGTTATTTTAAATACGATGTTTGTTTTGGTTGTTACTTAAATTTTATTGTATCGTATCGTTAGATCCGTCGTTACGTGATGACAAAATGTGACACTTTATGTAATGGCCGATTTGGTGTGATTGCGTTGTTATCTTGTCTTTTTCTCTCATTTCACCCTTTATTATTATTAAATTATTTTATTTTATCATTTACCCTACTTTTTTTATATAATAAAATTATCTCGTATCATATTTTTCTTTACAATATTGCAAATTTATTCTCCACATTGCTGGTGCATGATATTATGAAACAACAACAAACGATACAATCTATCTCGGCATTGTATTCATCAAACGATACAGTACAATACTATACAATACGATACATTATGAAACGATATGTAACAACAATCCAAACAAGCTGTAAGACAAATATTTTAAAGCTACCTAAAAAAACTAATTCTTTCAAGATTGATAGAAGAACTTTGTAATTGTAGCTTGTTTTGTAGATTTCATCCTCTTACTAGAGATATAACGCTTGAATTGGCGAAGATTCATGTCCAAAATTTTAACATAAAGGTATATAATAGCTTTTTTTTGAAGACAATATAAGAGCTTAACAGTTAAATTTTTCTATCTAAATATTTTTTGAAATTTGTTTAATGAAAAAGATATCATGTGCAGATCTCTAAATCTTATATCTTATGCAAGATATAAACTTTGTTTAATAAAAAAATTGTGTGCATATTTTTAGAATTATTTATTAATCTTAAAGATTCTGTATGGTTGTTATAAAGGGGTAATTTTACAAAGAGCATTTTGCTATAAATATGGTTGTTGCTGTTATAGAGAGGTAAAATATAACTTAAAAAATCGGTTCCAAGGAAAATTTGGCTTTTATAGTGAATGATTATTATATAGGGATGTTGTTTTAGAGAGATGTGACTGTATTCCTTTCATACTTTATTCATGTTATCCGTCACAAAATATTTAGGAAAAATGGCATTGTATAGTCGCTGTAAAAATAATAGCCGAAAAAATGTATAAAATTTGTGTATTTTTTGTATATATATATACATTCTGTATGTTACATACAAAAATTATACAAATCTTATACACTTTTTCGGTTACCAAATGTAAATAGTTTCTGGTGCGGCTAAAAGTGATTATACCCCTAGCATTTACACAAATTTTGGGCTCTCAAACTAAGTTGGCCCATGATCTTTTCCAAATTGATTTGATTAAGGGAATTTTTCATAAAGCACCATCTTTTTGGTCTAATTAGCTATTTATAGATATTCTTTGTTATATTACGTGTTATAGATACCTTTTATATTTTTATACAATATATTTCATGTATTTAAGCTGTTGTATTTATTAATACAACTAAAAATATAAGCGTAAAAACTGGAATTCCAGCTAAGTTTGACATGTATTTAGCTATATTCAAGCGACATTAACATTAAATACAGTAACATATCTACGCTAAAAATGGAAGGAAATAAAATCACATGATATTCTCCTAATTTAACTCAATGAACTAAAACGATCCCTCATTAATCTGTATTTGAAAGATACATAATAAAGATTATAGTTGAATAAAGAGAAATACATATGAATAATACAGTTGAGTAAAACTGTATACAGTTGAATACAACAAAATACAACTTAATTCATCTAAATAAAACACTTGAATACAACAAAAATACAATTGAATACAGCTGAATAAATTCTTGAATGCAACAAAATACAACTAACTTCTGCTGAATAAAATAGTTGAATATAACTAACTACAACTGAATACAGTTGTATAAAACACTTGAATACAACTAACTACTGTTGAATAAAATAGTTAAATACAACTGATTAAACCTGAATACAAGTGAATACAGCTGAAATATACATTCGAATACTAAGATTTTCTATAGGGTGTAAAATTTCTTAAATTAACATTAAAATTAAAATTAAACTAATAGGAGTGTCGTTCTCGGTTTTGGTTTCTAACTTCTTCGTTCGCATCGCCAAGGGGCAAAGCTTCAAGCTTTTACCAGCAAAACTCGCCAAGGGGTAAGAGACTTCGCGAGTGATTTCAACGATCTCTCTTTGTTAATCAATGCCTTTCGCTCTGATTTTGCTTGCTCGAGCTCGAACGTTTTTAATCTTCGAGCAGTAGCACTCGACTTCACCGCCGACGACTTCATAGGGTTTGTGGGAGAAGAGAGTCTGGTTGTGTGCAAAAAGAGAGAGATTGCATTGGGGTTTATAGATATGCGGTAATTATGTGAGAGAAAATACNCATTAAAATTAAAATTAAACTAATAGGAGTGTCGTTCTCGGTTTTGGTTTCTAACTTCTTCGTTCGCATCGCCAAGGGGCAAAGCTTCAAGCTTTTACCAGCAAAACTCGCCAAGGGGTAAGAGACTTCGCGAGTGATTTCAA